GCATATAAACACAAAAGAAAGAAATAAAACAATCTCTCATTTGCAGAAAACGTGATTTAAAAATTCCACGGAATACACCAAAAATGTTCCAGATCTATTGAGTTCAACAAGGTCACAGAATACAACCTAAAAATGAATTGTATTTCTATATACTAGCAATGAACACACAGACACTGAAATTAAAAATACCAACAATGGCTGGGTGTGATGGCTCACACCTGTAATCCCAGCACTTCGGGAGGCCGAGGCAGATGGATTGCTTGAGCCCAGGAGTTTGAGACTAGCTTGGGCAAAATGGCGAAACCTCATCTTTACAAAAAGTGCAAAAAAATTTAGCTGGGCATGGTGGTGTGCACCTGTAGTCCCAGCTATTGGGGAGGGTGAGGTGGGAGGATCTCTTGAGCTTGGGAGATGGAGGTTGAAGTAAGTTGAGATTGTGCCACTGCACTTCAGCCAGGGCGACAGAGATAGACCCTGCCTCAAAACAAACAAACAATACTGGGCGATGGCTCAAGTAATCCCAACACTTTGGAAGGCCGAGGAGGGAGGACTGCTTGAGCCCTCCAAGCTGGCTGGAGGTCAAGGCCAACCTGGACAACACAGCGAGACTCCACTTCTACAGAAAATTTAAAAATTAGTCAGGTATCGCAGCAAGTGTGTATAGTCCTAGTTACTTGGGAGGCTGAGGCAGGAGGACTGCTTGTGCCCAGGGGTTGAAGGCTGCAGTGAACTATGATTGCACCAGGGCACTCCAGCCTCAGTGACAGAGCAAGACCCTGTTTCTAGTTTCAAAAAGAGAAAAATGGAGGGGCATATTGTGTCCATAGACTGGTAGACTCAACTTGGTAAAGATGTTGATTCTCCTCATACTGATACAGGTTTAATGAAATTTCTATCAAAATCCCGGCAATATATTTTGCAGACACAGAAAGGATTATTCTAAAATTTACATGGAAAGGCAAAGTAAGTAGAATAATTAAAACAATTCTGAAACTGAAAAATAAAGTAGAAGGAATCAATCTAGCAAATTTCAAGATATATTACATAGCTACAGTAATAAACATTGTGTGATATTGGTGGAAGGATATACACATTGATCAATGAAACAGAACAGAGAACCCAAAATAGACCTACACAAATATATCCAAAGGTGCAAAAGCAATTAAATGGAGGACGTCAATGGACTTCTCAGCAAACAGTGCTGGACCGGATAGATAATGACAGACAAAAATATTAACCCTGACTTAAGCCTCACACCTTAAAAAGAATTTTAATTCAAAATAAGTGTGAAACTATAAACTTTTAGGAAAAACCATAGGAGATAATTCTTTGGGATCTGGGGCTAGGCAAAGCGTGCTTAAACTTGACCCTAAAAGCATGATCCATAACAGAAATAGTTGGTAAACTAGACCTCATCAAAATAAAAAACTATTTTGCTCTGTGAACACCCATGTAAAGAAGATGAAAAGAGAAGTTAGAGACTAAAAAAAAAAGAAAATTGTAAACCACATATCCAAGAAAGGACTAGCATCTAGAATAAAACAAAACCAAACAAACATAAAAACCAAAAAAACTCTCAAAGCTCAACAGTTAAACAACCAACCAATAGAACTAGAAAATGGGCAAAAGAAATGAGAAAATATTTCTTGAAAGAGAATACACAGATGGCAAATAAGCACATGAAGAGATGTTCAATGCTATTAGCCATTAGGGAAATACAAATTAAAACAACCATGAGATCTTACTACACATCTAAAATTAAAAATTGTGATAATATCAAATGCTTATAGTATGGAGAGTTTTCATATATTGCTTGTGCGAATGTAAAATGATAGAGCCTTTGGCCATTTCTTAAAGTACACATGTAACCACCACAGGACCCAGCAACTGCATTGCTGGATATTTGTATCAGATAAATAAAAACTTATGTACACACACACATACACACACATACCTGTACACAAATGTTTACAGTAGCTTAATTCTTAATAGCTACAACCTGGAAACAATCTTCACAGGTTAAACTGTGGTACGTCCATACCATGGAGCACCATACAGCAATTAAAAGGAACAAACTACTGATAAAGCAACAACTTGAATGAACATCCAGGGAATTATGCTGAGAGAACGCCAGTCCCAAAAGGTTACATACTAAAATGATTCTATATTTATACAAGATTCTTGAAGTAAGATTATAGAAATGGAAAACAAATCAGTGATTGCCAGGGGTTGAGGAAGGGTAGGGGTGGAAAGGAGTGTGTATGGCTACAAAAGGGCAACATGAGAGATCCTTGTGGTGACAGAAATGTTCTGTATCTTAACTGCATAAATACTGTACTATCATCTTGCAAGATGTTACCATTAGGGAAACTGGAGAAAGCATAAACAGGATATCTCTGTGTTATATTTTACAAAAACATGTGAATCTACGATTACCTCAAAATAAAGGTCAATTTTTAATAAAAAGTTTAAAGGATATACATCAGATGCAGAGAGGGAGGGAGAAGAGAAGGTCAGAACTAATTTCACTAATGTACATAATGGGGAATCAATAGAAAATAACTAAGAGAGGACTAAAGAAAACAAAAAAATCAAAACCACAAACATTCCTAAAGGCCAAAAGTATACTGACAGAAAAAAATAAAACAGATCACATACAATAACTATTTTACACATAAATATAGAGGTGATGACAGGGAAACTAGGACTTGACTTTAAAACCATGAAAATAAACTGCATATGTATATGACAAAATGAAACTTAACAAGAAAAGCAATCTCTAAAAATAAAAAATGAACCTAAATGTGTATCCAGTTGGTAGCATAATCATGCTATCTCGTGTAACTTTTCAACACAGCAATTTAACCCTGCATCCCCGGTCAACCTTAAAGAGAACTACCAGGAAAACTCTAAACTGTTCTCAGTAACCCTATTACTGAGTGCAGTGCTGCTGATATTGTTATTCTAAGACTGTTATGTGTCTATGTCGAATAAAGCAAATGAGTAAAACTGTCATATTCTAATTCTATCATTTCAGGTGTCAGAAAAAAAACAGAAAGTTCAGCCTGGGAAAAAGAGAGATGTATGACAGAAGTTGTTTAGTCATTTAATAAAACCCCATAGTCCTGAAATTGAATTGGAATATCAATATATGTATCATATGTGTGTATGCATGTATAAGTATGCATATAAATACATATATACACACACACAATTTTGTTTTAATCCTAGATCTATCTACTATAAGAGGTCTACTTGGAGATGTATATCTCCAAGGCCTAGAAGCAATGACCAAATCAGTGCACAGACAATACTCTCAAAAATACCACCAAGAGCAAACAGAGAGAATTGGTTGATTCTGACAGAATGGGCAGAAAAGGTACACGATAAGCCTGCAATATCTTAATAATTGTCAAAGATTATTAGAATCTTGTAAAAACTACTCAGGAGCTAACATGAAGAGGCTCCAAATGTTCAAAGATGGTACAATTATTGTCAATTATCAGTAAGATAATGAATTCAAACACACATAGATTTCAATCTATAAATCCAGGAAATGGAAATAACCCAAACAACTAAATGGTCATCATTGAAGGATGATAATGAACTACCTCATTATTTTGAAAACTGATAAGGTAAAAGAATCAAGCATTCATTTTGCCGTTTCTAAACAAATTTTATCATGGGGTAATCTAACCAATTAATAAATGAGGGGAAGGTTTCTCTTAATAGATGTAGTCCAGTTCAGTGGTTCCCAAACTTTTTGGCACCAGGTATTGGTTTCATAGAAGACAAGTTGTCCATGGACCAGGAAGTAGAAGAGGTGGTTTCAGAATGATTCAAGTGCATGACATTTATTGTGCATTTTATTTCCATTATCATATTATATTATACAACTCACCATAATACAGAATCAGTGAGAGCCCTGAGCTTGTTTTCCTGTAACTAGACGGTCCCATCTGGGGATGATGGGAGATGGTGACAGACCATCAGGCATTAGATTCTCATAAGGAACATGCAACCTAGACCACTCGCATGCACAGTTCACAGCAGTGTCTGCACTCCTTTGAGAATCAAATGCAGCTGCTGATCTGAAGGAGGCGGGAGCTCAGGCGGTAATGCAAGCAATGAGGAGCAGCTGTAAATACAGATGAAGCTTCACTTGCTTGCCTGCTGCCTACCTCCTACTGTGCAGCCTAGGTTCCTGATGGGCCACGGACTGGTAGTGGTCCAGGGTTGGGGAACCCTGGTCTAGTTAAACAAGGAATGCTAGATTATTACCACTTTACAAATCCTAGTAAATAACGGACTTAGACAATGTTCCTCAGTGGTTGCCAACGTAACAGAAAGAGACAACCAGACACTATGTGCCTTCCTGATGAAAGAGAAAACCATCACATACGATGCAGTCTTGTTCCCCTCTTACCCCAAATAATCTGAATCTGATAAAGCCTCCAGATTCAACTTTGAATTTACAGGAAATAGAGAGGGCCAATACACTTGTCAAGTGACACGATACAATGTAAAATCCAGTCAGGCACAGTGGCTCATGCCTGCAATCCCAGCACTTTTCCCATACCTGTAATCCCAGCAATTCAATCAGACTGCCTGAGCTCAGAAGTTCAAGACCAGCCTGGGCAATATGGTGAAATCCGATCTCTACCAAAAGTACAAGAAACAAAAACAAAACAAAAAGCAACTCAGCCAGGAATGGTGGTACGAGCCTGTGATTCCAGCTACCCAGGAGGCTGAGGCGGGAGGACTGCTTGAGTCCAGGAGGCAAAGGTTGCAATGAGCCAAGATCATGCCACTGCTCTCCAGCATGGGTGATGGAGTGACATCCCATCTCAAAAAGAAAAGTAAAACTCAGATTACCAGAACTTCTATGAACCTAGTTTCTCCAACAATAAAATGCATAGAAAAAAACAAAATGAGATTAAAAGACCATAGATTAAAAAGACTTTGAACTCCTATCAATCAATCAATCGCAATGAATGGACCTTGTGATGGTTGATCCCAGGTGTAAGCCTGACTGGATTAAGGGATATCCAGACAGCTGGTAAAAGCATTAATTATTTTCAGTAGTTCAGAAGGCACTGAGCTTGTTCCTCTTCTGCTGAAAGGAAAACCCAGGTTATTATGCATTTGATTAGAACGACTGGGCTGCCCCAGGTGCCTGTGAAGGTGTTTCCCAAAGAGATTGGCATTTGAGTTAGTAAACTGATTGGGGAAGATTCACTCTCAATGTGAGTGGGCAGCATCCAACAAGCTGGGGACCCAGATGGAACAAAAAGAGGAAGAAAGAGTAATTCTTGCTGTCAGGAATCAAGGTTCTATGGTCTTTGGATTCCGGGACTCGCACCAGCACTGCTGCCCTTTCTCCCCACAATCACATTAGCAAGTGTGATAATGGTATTGTGTTTTTAAAAAGAATTCCTATATTTTAAATAACATACATATTCTTAATAACAAAAAAAGTAGGACAAAAACAGTCTTCTGAAAGACCTCATGCTTTGGGAGGTCACCTGTTTTATATAGCTGGATCCTGGCTATTAACAGAAAAAATACTTTTGTAATGCATTGTTGATGTCATATAAGTAGTAAAGAGGAGGAGACGTCAGTCAAGTTGAACCTGAGGGGGAAGTCATAAAAGGTAAATAAGTGAAATGGAAACTATGAGGGTAGCTGCCTATTTCACACAAGGAACAGAAATTAAGTCCTGAGCCCTGATGCAAGGCTGAAGAGTTAAACCTAAATGAACACTTAGGTTATACAACATAAAACAACTACAGCAAGTATTTCAAGAACAACAACAAAAAAATGGAACTAAAATATATCAGCAAGCCAGAAGAAATTATCAGAAATGACCAGATCTGAAAAATGAAAAAAAAGAACCAAACAGAACTTTGAGATATGAAAAAATAATTATTAATTATAGACATATAACCAAGATTAGGAACTCAACAGATGGGTTTTACAGCAAATTTAAAGTAGTTTAAGAGATTCTGTAAACTTTAAGACAGGTCAGAAGAAACTGTCAATTATGAAATACAAGAGGAACAAATATCAAAAATATAGAATAGAGGGTAAGAAACATAGAGGATACAATAAAAAATACAAAACAGTGTTTCTTTGGGTTCCTCTGCGCAGAAGCAACTGTTGAAGAGATAACAGCTAACAATTTTCCAGAACTGATAAAAAACAATAAACCACAGATTCAAGACACCCAGCAAATTCCAAGTGGGGAAATAAAAAGATTTCTCTTCCCAAGGGGAAAACACTTAGGAGCCAGAGAAAACCAGATTATCTTCAAAATGCAACAGACTAAAAACTGGCCAGGCGTGGTGGCTCTCACCTGTAATCCCAGCACTTTGGAAGGCTGAGGCAGGCAGATCACCTGAGGTCAAAAGTTTGAGACCAGTCTGGCCAACTTGGCAAAACCCCATTTCTACTAAAAATACAAAAAATTAGCTGGGTGTGGTGGTAGGCACCAGCAATCCCAGCACTTTGGAAGGCTGAGGTGGGAGGACTGCTTCCGCCCAGAAGTTCAAGAACAGGCTGGGCAACATAATGAGACATTTCTACAAAGAGATTAAAAAAATAGCTGGGTGAGGTGGTGGCATGCACCTGGAGTCTCAGCTACTCAGGAGGCTGAGATGGAAGGATTGCTTGAGCTCAGGAGGTTGAGGTTGTAGTAAGCTGTGATCACACCACTGCACTCTAGCCTGGATGACAGAACGAGACCCTATCTCAAAAAAAAAAGAAAAAAAAAAAAAGACACAGTTTTTTAGTCTGGTTTTTTTTTTGGGGGGGGGTGGGGGAGGGAAGGACAGAATCTCACTCTGTCGCCCAGGCTAGAGTGCAGCAGGAAGATCTCAGCTCACTGCAACCTCCACCTCCTGAGATCAAGCAATTCTCCTGCCTCAGCCTCCTGAGTAGCTGTAACTACAGGCACACACGACCATCCCTGGCTAGTTTTTGTAATTTTGTAGAGATAGGGTTTCACCATGTTGGCCAGGCTGGTCCTAAACTCCTGATCTCAGGTGATCTGCCTCCTAAAGTGCTGCAATTTCACTGCGCCTGGCCTGATCCCAGGAGTTTGAATCCAGCCTTGGCAACATAACAAGCCCTCATCTCTTTAAAAAAAAAAAAAAAAAAAAAAAAAAAGAGCATATTGTTGGCATACAATTTTAGGTGGTCAGGTGGTTCTTGGGCCATAAGGAACTTCTTAGTTTAAGAAGTTTCAGATTAAGAATCTCTATAGCAATAATAAATCAGTAATTTCAGAAAAGGATAGGAAAGAACTCTGTGGGGTGATGGAAATGCTCTAACACTGGACTGCAGTGATAGTTACACAACTGTATAAATTTGTAATACTAAAAATCAGACTGTATGCTAACAATGAGTGAATTGTATGGCATATAAACTATAACTGAAAAAAACCTGTAAAAGAGAAAAAAAAAAAACAATACTCTGCAATACAGTTATTTATATACTTGTTCTCTGGGCTACTATTTTCCTGAGCATACTAACTGAAGTCAGTATATAAATTTTATTTGGGAAAAGGAAGGTAAGAGACAACAATTTCTGGGATTCATTTGGCTTCTAAGTCAGCACAGGAATATAAAATTGCCCTCTCAACTAGTGATACAGCTAGAAAACTATAGCTCTAGGTCAAAAAGGACATTGTCCTGATACCCTAAAGATTGCCACTCACTGGGTATCCTTATTTCAAAGCTAACTGCTGAAAAGAAATGAAAGCCACAAGGCAGTGAAATGATATATGCAATGTACTAAAATAACCATTAGCTTCAGACTCCGAATTCTGACAGAGAAGGAATGACAGAATTTGAATATCACAACTATGAATAAATTAATGGATCTACGCAATCATAATCAATGGGTGCTAACATCACAAAAAGAGATAACCTGACCTTAAGTTCTCATGATAGAAGTACATATATAATACCCACAAAAGCAAAAACGAAAATCCATAGAATGGGAGAAAATATTTGCATATCATATGTCTGGTAAGTTGTAACCAGAATATATGATGAACCGTTACAACTCAATAAAAAGACAATACAATTTAAAAAATGGACAAAGGATCTAAATGGACAGTTCTCCCAAGAAGACAGACAAATGACCAATAAACACATGAAAACATGCTCAATATCACAGCCATCAGAAAAATGCAAATCAAAACCACAATGAGACACCTATTAGGATGGCTAAAATAAAAAATGTAAGTATTAGGAGGATATGAAGAAATCAGAGCCCTCATACTGCTGGTGGGATTGCCAAATGGCGTAGTAACTTTGGAAAAATCTAGTAATTCTGCAAAAGTTAGACACCAAGTTACTATATGATCTAGCAATTCTACTCCTAGGTATAATTCAAGAGATATGAAAACGTATGTTGTACAAAAACTTATACAGGAATATTCACAGCAATACTATTCACAATAGCCAAAAGGTGAAAACTACCCAAATGTAACTGATAAATGACTAAACACAATGTGGTATAACCATACAGTGAAATATCATTCAGCAACAAAAGGAATGAGGTCCTGATACACACTAATAACATGCAAGAACCATGGAAACATGCTAAGTAAAAAAATAAATAAATAAAAAGCCAGTCACAAAAGGCCACATATTATATTTATATGAGTGCTTCTCCATAATGTCCCAGAACAGGCAATTCTAGAGACAGAACTTTGCTTCTGTCTAGGGGGAAGGAGCAGGTATGAAGAGAAGAGGAAAATAGAGGGTGACTGCTAAAGGGTATAAAGTTTGTTTCTGTAATGATAAAAATATTCTAAAATTGATTGTAGTGATAATTGTACTAATGGGTGAAATTTATACTATGTGAATTACATCTCAATGAAACTTAAGTATATGCTACCACCTACAAATCAGTCTTGGCAAACGAATAAATAGATCAAGTTTTCTAACAACCAATTTACAGAAAATATAGGAATCAGAGGGACATACTCAACACCATGGCATCACAATAAGCAAAATCCAGGTTAAACAACCCCATTTTTCTAACAACAAACAGCAACAAGGCAAAAAGAAGGGAAGGGAAGGCAGTTTAGGAAACTAAGAGTGACTCCACAGATTTAAAAGAGATTTAAGAGACATATCAATGAATCACAATAAATGGACTTTATTTGGTTACTGATACACACACACACACACACACACACACACATACACACACACAGGCGCAAGCACCCATGTTGTTGGGTATTAGATCCATAAATATCTGTTTCATTGTTTCAAAACATGTGCATGCATGTGTAACCTACAGAAGACAACTAGAGGAATGTAAACACTGACTGGATATTTAATGGCAAAGTACTACTGTTAATTACATTTAGCTGTAATTTTTAAATACCTAACTTTTAAGAATACATAAGAAATATAAACAAAGTAGAAAATAAATTCATGAATAGAAGAGAACCCCCAAATAAACCCAAACATATGTGAAAACTTGGTATGACAGAAATGGCACTGCTAAACACTGGGAAAAAGACCACTCAGTAAATAGTGTGGGACCAACTAATCATACACGAGAGAGGGAAAAAAATGAAACTGGACGTCTATAGCATCATTAAAAAACCAACTCCAGATGGACTGAAGACTTGTGACATCACTTTAAGTTTTTAAAGGAAAATATGTTTATAGTCCCTGCATGGAGAAAGATTTCTTAAGCAAGACATAAAAAACGCCAAAAAACAAAATCCATTAAAATTAAGAAGCTCTGTTTCTTAAGATTCCACACAGAAAGTGAAAAGACAAGCCAAAATGGAAGGATATTTGAAGCACAAATAGTAAATAATGACTATCTGAAATATATAAACTATTTTTGTGTACTGAAAAAGTCACTGAATCAGCCAGACACAGTGGATCACGCCTGTAACCCCAGCACTTCGGGAGGCCAAGGCAGGCAGATTACTTGAGGTCAGGAGTTCGAGACCAGCCTGGATAACATGGTAAAACCCCATTTCTAAACATCAAATAAGAAAAAGGCAATAGAAGAATATGCAGAAAGACAAGAACAGGCATTTCTTAGAACATAAAACAATAATGGCCAGCATGAAAATGTGGTCAACCTCACTCATCAGAAAAATGAAAATCAAGACCACAATAAGTGTACCTACCATCCTACACTTACTAGATTGCCAAAAATTAGTAAGTATAACGTCAAGAAGTGTTCACGAAGATGTAGAACAACTGGTGAACTGTCAGTTGGTACAACCATATTTGGGAAACAATTTGAAGTCTCATTAACATTGAAAAATACCTGAAGAAATCACAATTCCACTCCAATGTATAAGCCCTATGAAACTCTTGCATGTATGTGCCATGAGACATATAAAGGTGGCTTCTTGGCATCATTGGTTTGTAACAG